CTGAATACTTGAGTATATACAAGAATTATCAGTCTACTGGGATATGATATAATAAGTTAGTAAGCTGGCTGTTAAATCCCCATCTTTTGTATTTCCTTTCCTATATTATATTTCTCATTTCTCAAATTACATTTCCCTTTATCAAATAGGAATAGGAATAGGAATAGGAAAATTTATGCCTGTCTGCCTGCCTACCTAGTAAAGAAAACCTACCTACCTTCCTTCCTTCCTTCTTCCTTATTCTTACTCTCTCATCTCACTCCAAGCAAGCACTTACTAATAGTTGACAGCCCGTTTTTTTGCTGTTGTTGCGTTGTGTTTACATTACATTACATTTAGTTTAGTCTAAATTTTAAATCTTTTAATAGAGTCTGGAATCTTGCGTTTCAATCAGATTTGTTATTTGTTGTTTTTGTTCCAGTGAGAGGGAGAGGGAGAGGGAGAAAATATATTAATTTGAATATGAATTTGGAGTTTGTATTTGGAGTTTGGATTTGAGATTTGAAATTTGAATTTAAATAGGGTGATGTGATTGATTCAAAGGAACAAAGCATAGCAAAGCAAAGCAAAGCAAAGCAAAGCGGTGAATAATACTCTTACTTGTAGATATTATTCGTAGAAATTCGCTGCTTCATTCATTGAATCATTGTATGCTGAGCTGGGGGAGGAGGAGGAGGATGAAGAGGAGGAGGATGAGGAAGGACGAAGGAGGAGGAGTGTGGGAAGGGAAGGAGGAAAACTAGATATAGATATTTTGATATGGAAATAAAATCATATATTAACGACTTGTATATCGGTATCACTAAGTTTACTTTATTTATATAGCAAGTAGGATTGAGATTTTCCTTAAAAAGAAATTGAAAGAAAAGAAAAAGAATAATATTGTACTGAATATACAAATCGAATATAAATAGGAATGGAAATAAATCATTGGAAAAATCATGTATTGTGTACTGAGTGTATTGAATAGAAATTTATACATAAAGGAGTGAATGATGATGAGAAAACCCGTTTGTGATTGTGAGATACTGTAGTAGTTGCTGATAGTGAAATTGACCATTTCTCATCTCGGGCCCTCTCTTTCATCTCTTATCTCTACCCCAGTGCCATCCCATCGCATCGCATCCCCTATTCACATCTCTCTCCTCTCTCTCTCTCTCCAAAGAAAAAAAAACCATCCTTCTCTTAAACAGAAATACTATAACTATAAGAATTATCACAAGACCAACTATCCTCACCCTGAACCCCAATCGAATAAGTAGCCGCAGAACCCGCATACACCTGCGTAAACAACGAACAATAAGTACCCAACGGCTTCCCATTCTTCTTCAACACATACGAGTTAAAAAACTTACACTCGTACGGAGAATAGTCCAAGAATTTATAGATCAACTGCATCCACGACGAGACGAGCGCTAGATTCTTAGCATTCTGAGCAGTAGCGTAGCCGGCGCATACAGCGGGGTTGTAGGGACCGGGGAAGAAAGCCTGTCCTAAACAGGTTGAGGGGTGCGAGTGGGCTTTGGAGCCACCGCCGCATTGTTGAGGTGGTTGCCAGCCTGGTTGGGTGGGGGGAGCTACGATTTTGGAGTAGCCGTTGGAGCCGGTGATAACGACTTGGAATTGATCTCGGTATTGGCCTGCGTTGGTAGCGGAAGCAGAGTCGACGCCCGAGCCCCAGAGAGTGCACTTGTAGTTGGTGATGGATGCGGGGTTGGGGCAGTCGTCCGAGGGGTTGATGGATGGATCGCGCTCCACGTAGATGTTAAAGCCGGTGCAAAGGTTGGTGTTGTCGCAGAGGGTGCCGCATTGGGATACGTCGTAGCTGGTGAAAGTGGTGAGGCCGAGATAGGTGTTGGCGGTGACGGCGGCATTGAGATCTACAAAGGTCTGGGAATATCCGAGAGGAGTCACGGCTTTCTTGGACTCCGAGGCAAATTCGGAATAGGCGAGGAAAGCATCGACGGTGTCGGGTTGAACTTTTGGTCCGTACCCATCTGGTTGGGTGGCACATGGAGTGCTCACGTATGGAGTGGTTGCTGGTGGGGCCGTGGTAGAGGAAGCAGGGACTTTGGAACTAGTGCTTGCGACTGAGGTGGTTGATGTGATGCGAATCGAGGTAGAAGTGGCCTTGACGGTAGAGGTAGAAGAGCTTGAATCTCCCCATCCCCATCCCCATCCCCAGTTCGAGAGATGACGCTTAGCGTTTTGGGAGGCTGTGGCCGAAGCTGTTGCAATACCAGTGACCTTAGCAGATCCCGAAGCGGAGGCGGCAGCATTGTTGATGATGACGGATTCTTTGGTAGCATTCGGGGCTGGGCCAGTCAAAGTTGGAGAAGGGGCAGCATTGACTGAAGCGAAGTCAACGTTCTGAGGAGCTGGGTTGGCAGCAGCTAGAGCGGCAAAGCCTGCAACGAGGAGTGCGTGGTGATGCATCTTGGATGCGAGAGGATGAGATGTGATGAGAAAAGAATAGATGATGAATGAAGAATGTTTGTGATTGTTGGATGATGAGAAGGAATAATTTGAAGGGAATAATCAACCTAATATAGGATTTTAGAAAGCACTGGGAAGGTCCTCAAGCAACTAAAGAAAGCAGACTAATGCAGTCAGAGTAGAGTATTTGCAAGTATTGGTATAGTATAACCCTAGCCGATCACACCAGGAGCTGCGCATTCTGCAGAAAGGCTCTCGAGCGACTAGCTCGTAGTGGGAGATAGGAAGTCAAAGAGATGAGATGAGTTGAATTGAGCCAGATGGTACCCTTCCACCCCTCCATCTAGAACATTCAATGTGTCGCTCCTCTGGTGTCAAACTCGCTTGAATCTGTCACGATCATGATGATCATCCAACATCTTAGATCTTCTGTAAGCAATATCAAATCATGCTATCTTACAATTCAAATAAAAACAATCCAAGCGCCGAGAAACGACCAGCAAACAACACAGCAGACGAGAGCGGAACGACACCAGACGCATTGCACAAATAGTGCTCATAATATTGATCTTAGTGATATTGACGCATGGTAGATCCGGATGCACTGTGACAGGTACCCGTCCGTCGCTTTGAATATCCCTAGGGTAGGTAGGTAGGTAGGTACCAGAACACTTCCACATGTACCAATGTTTGTTTTTGGTCGGAAAACATAGGTCGTCAGTGAGAAGAAGCTCGTTTGGGATGCTAAGCCTACATCCTCGGTTATTAGAGTATCTTTTTGACGAGATGCTGATCAATGTAGCTTAGTGTGTACAGGAAAACCTTAATAGCCGTGCCACAATAAGCTAGTGTTATCTCAAATCATCCCATATGTATGTGTGATTTTTCCGTGTAGCTAGGTAGGTTGGATATTGACAAATTTCTCTTTTGAGATTCGTTTTGATGCCAGGCCAGTGAGGCAGTGTCGTTTTTTTTACACACGGGTGGATAACCATCGTGTATGCGTCCAGACTCCAGATTCCAGATTCCAGACTCCAGACTTCATAGAGCTCAATCAATTAAGGTCGGTATATACCGTAGTCTGTGTAGGATCTATTATCGGTAGATCTACATCAGACAATATTCTATGAATAGTGTGAATGTCCTTGACATTGATGATGCCTAGCTTGTTCAATTGAAGGTCAGATAGCGACAGCATAGTACTGTTAAGGTTATATGATAAGTATTATTAGCCGAAACCCGCCTCCGAAATTCCCGAAACCTCGGCATATTTGCATCGACAACATAATTCAATTTGTCATAGACGACTCGCGAGAAGATATTGTTGTTTAATGTGAAGTTTGAATGGAGTCAAAAATTGTCTAGCAACTTGCTTGTTATTCTCTAAGCCTTGAGTCCCTGAATGGCATACCATGTACCATTACAGTATACCTAGGTAGCTTGTGGGTAAAGATTTCAAGCCCAGCTGAATATTCTAGCTCGGTGACACCGGTGCTACTTGTACTGTACCAACGAGCTCCAAATCAGTAGTGGTGGGAAATTCAAATACTTTGGGAAGCGGAAGTATCCATTACTAATACAGATAATGCTACCCGAAGTTTATATCAGTAATCAAAGACAATGCTGAAATTCACACACGATACGGTACTTGGGAACATCTAGATCTATATCGTAGGTATCGGAATGTAGGCAAAGAATGCTAATAGTTCAAAGAGGAATGAGTAGTGATTAATGGTTTTTGTTAGGGCTGTACAGATAGGTACCGGTAGTTTTTAAGCGTATTAACTAATACCGGTATTTGCATTTGCTCTATGTTTCTACTCGAGTACCGGTAGATCGATCAAAATGAACCATTTCAAACTTCAAAAGCTCAATAATGTCGATACCTAGATAGGTAGTCTTGATACCCAATGAACATCTGAGTCTAGATGCAATCGATCTGGATCTAAATGCATCCTATTCCGCTTTCTGCACTCATGACATTGGCGGCGTCCCAAAACCGGAGATATGAAGAACGATATACCGTATGGGATACCTGGAAAAGCTTGATATAAGAACTTTGACTACTAGGTAGTCTTTTTTCTCCGAAAACCGTGACACGGACATTTCATTCAGTTCTGCTCCGCCGATTAAGATAAAATAAAAATAAACGTTCGAGAGATGCCCCTCTATAACAGTGTAATCCAATCATGAGTTCGTATTTTGTGGTGGAGTACCGGTAGTAGTGGAGTCACATATATCAAATCATTAATCCCCCTTGAGCAAGCTGGAGAACCTTGATAAGAACTGTATCGGCACGTGCATAGCCATGCACGGCCGATTGATTCCTCCAGTTTTATATATTGCTGGTGTTACTCAAGAATCGAGAACTCAGAGTAGTTGGCGTTGGTGATGGTAGTGATGGCGGTGAGAAGAATCTCGGATGCTACTAACTGTATTGATACGATTAGAATGGGATTATAAGATATTAAAAAAATTCGTAATATAAGGATCTATTTCCTTTTGAATTTCATAATTTATTCTAAGAGAATTGATTATTATTTGCACATCTATCTTATAATAATTAGATAAACTATAGTATTGAATATATATTAAAGAGTATAGAGTTTTTAAGATTTACTTCAACTCTTTAAAACTAATATCGTTTTAAAATCTCTATACTTACTTATATTATATAGCTTATT